ACCAGTAATGGGTATAGTTTAAGATTCTTTATTAGGAGTAAGTATGTTTACTTTAAGAGATACATTTCTTAATTAAGCCTAAGTAATGAATATAGTCATGTGGGTGGATAATTGGGAAGGCGAACTTCCTATGCCTGCAATTTTAAAGCCTAAGCCTTTATGGACTGGAAAATAGATTATGAGTTTAATTATTCCTGAAAAAATGACCATGACAAGAACAAGTGGAAAATCAGATGACGATAAATGGTTTTCCTCAAAAGATGAATCTATATATATTTATAAAGGGGAATTATTATAAGGATATATGACTAAAGGAATAGTCGGAGATGGACCAGGAGGTCTAGTTCATTTAATTTGGCTAGATATAGGACATTCTGCTACTTGTGATTTCATGACTAGGTGTTAAAGAATAGTTAATAATTGGTTAATCATCACTGGGCATACTATAAGTTGCGCAGATATAGTCCCTAGTGAAGATTGTGTCACGGAAATAAAAAAAATACGAGAAGACGCCTAAAAGGCATTCGATTAAGCCGTAGAAGATTTCCAAGATGCCGAAAAAATCGAAAAATAAGGAAATCATAAAGCCGGTAAGCGAATTTTCGATTCCTTCGAAGTCCATATAAACACTGTCTTGAACAAACTCCGTGGTTAAGCCGAAAAAAAATCTAAAGATACCATCAAGTTCAGGTATAATCAATTCAATAAGATGGTTTGGGCCGGTTCAAAGGGAAAACCGACTAATTTAGCCCAAGTTATGGGACTTCTTGGTTAATAAAATATAGAAGGAGCTAGAATAAGGAACGGTTTCGCAAGAAGAACACTCCCTCATTTTCAAAAAGAGGACAATGGTATTATTGCAAGAGGTTTTGTACTATCTAATTTCTTCCAAGGACTAGAACCATATGAGTTTTTCTTCCATACAATGGGTGGTAGAGAAGGATTATCAGACACAGCAGTTAAAACATCGAGAACAGGTTACATTTAACGAAAACTAGTGAAGGCTCTAGAGGACGTATTAGTAAGATATGACGGTACAATAAGGGATTCTATCGGGAGTTTAATTTAAACTTGCTACGGGGAAGATTCATTAGCCGGGGAGTATATAGAAACTTAAAAAATAGCAGAAATTGAGTACTCAAATGAATAATTCGAAAAAGAATATAGGTTTATTCGAGATTTCGAGAACCAAGTATCCATCAAAGAGTTTCTGGAAAGAGAATATGAAAGGAAATTAAATAAAGATGTAATTTCCGAAATAGATGAAAGTGCGAGATAATCGAGATAAAAATACGAGCCTTTTTGCCTAGAAGAGGAATATAGGGATTTATTAGAAGCCCGAGATTTATTTAGGAAATGCTTTTATTTTTATTCTTTTAAATAATCTCTAGACTTGAATATTCCCGTAAATATAGACAGAATGCTCCGTTCTACTAAGATTGAAATGTCCAAAAATAATCGAATTTATGATAAAGATGAGTCCCGTTTAAGCCCAATTTATGTTTATAGGGTTATTAATGAATTATTTACTAAACTTGATAATGATGCTATTAATAGAGGAGTAGACCCCAATGCTTTGATGCTTTTTAAAGCACATGTCAGACTCCATTTATCCTCTAAGAAAATAGTCATAAAACATAAAATAAATAAGGAGAAATTTGAACAACTAGTAAGAGAAGTTGAAGCTAGATATAAATAAGCTATTGCTCACCCAGGAGAGACTATAGGTGCTATTGCAGCTTAATCTGTGGGAGAACCTACTACTTAGATGACTTTAAACACTTTCCATTTTGCAGGAGTATCTGATAGAAATGTTACATTGGGAGTACCTAGACTATAGGAGATATTAGATGCATCTAAAAACATAAAAACTCCCGAGGTGACAATTTTCTTTGAAAGGAAGCTGGAAAAACCCGAAGATAAATAAGAAATGAGGGAACAAATCGAATATTAGCAAGTTTTTAAATATATCGAGTCTACAAAAATTCTCTACGATTATGAACAAGAAGAAATTTTCGATGATGAAGAGTCGCAATAAAATCCGTGGAAACTAATCATTTAATTCGACAAATAAAAACTCGCAATAGATCTATATGATAAACTTTACTCAGAAATCGCTAAATTATAAAACTAATTAAAATTTACAGCATCTAAAAGTACATATACATAATGTTTTATAACAATACAATACCGCGAAAACTCCAATAATGACGAAAATTCAATATAGATGTAATAGTAAGATAATAAAAGTGTCTATATAGCTCTTTTGGAACTCGAAAAAAAAATTCGAGAAATCTATATAGGCGGTATTTAAGGCGTAGATAAAATATATCCTGCTGAAAAAGACTTTGTGGGTAAATGGGATACTAAAACAGGCAAAAAAGTGACTGACAAAGAGACTATTTTCAAGACAAGTGGTACTAATTTGAAAAAAATCATTAAGATAGACGGCGTAGATTCCCAAAGGACCTACTCGAATGACATTTAAGAAATCGCGAAGGTAATCGGAATCGAAGCTGCCCGAAAATCAATTATAAACGAAATACGGGAAGTCATAGAACCTTACGATATATATATAAATTATCGTCATTTATCTATATTAGCCGATTGGATGACTTTAAGAGGTAGAATCACACCAATAAATAGAAACGGAATTAATAGAATTCCAGGAATTTCCTGTTTAAGGAAATCTTCATTTGAAGAAACAGTAGAAATTTTAAATAGTGCGGCTATTTTCTTTGAAAAAGATAAATTAACAGGAGTTACTGAGAATATTATTTTCGGATAAAATTGCGATATAGGCACAGGTAGTTTCGAACTATTAATAGATTAGATGAAAGTATAAGATTTCAAAACTAAAAGGGAAGCTGATTATGATAATATTCCCGAACAATCACCAATGTCTGAAGCAGCTGATTATTTTAATACACCAGTAAATCCAAATACTCCAGGCGTAGGAATGATGACTCCAGGATTTAGTGTACATAATATAATGGGAAATTTTACACCTTCGACACCTAATTAAGGATTTTCACCTTTTATAAGTAATAAATGCATAAATATATATATATATATATATATATATATATATATATATATATATATATATATATATATAAATAGCTTCAACACCAAATTATCCTTAAAATAATCCGAAATCTCCTAGCTAGATTGCATATGCAAGAAGTTCTTAAATTAGTCCGAAAATAGATAATTCTCCATAGATTGTTTCACCAAGTTTGAAATATTTAATTATATATTATATATTTATTCTTTTAAATAGATTATACACCACATAATAGTACTCCTGCAGAAAGAGCTAGTCCATATAGTGCTTCTCCTAATTATAAAATACATTAAGGACAATCTAATTCACCTGCATATATTGCTTCACCTAATATGAAGTATTCTTCATATAAATAAATATATATAATTTTTATAAAATATATATTAGTAGTTTTGCAAGATCCCCTAATTATTAATCTCCTCATTAAAATACTTAAAATGCGATGTCTTCTAGTCCTTAAAATTCAGAAAGATCAAGATATTCTTATTAAGGATCAGTTCAATCACCTATTTATAATACTAGTAGTTCTCCTTAATATGATATTAAAGGTAGTAGTCACATTGCTTAATAAATTAAAGGAGAAATGCATAATATTTAGGAAGAAAATGAAAGTGGTAGTGAAAGTGAAAGTCGTGATAATTGATTAGTCTTTTGATAAATACTCAATAAATATATTGTATTTTTGAAAAATATTTTTATTTAATAATTTTTTTTTTATATATAAAAAAAATGAGTGAATTTTTTATATTATATTTTTATGTTTATTAAAAAAATTTTAATTATAAACATACTTATATTATATATATAAATATATTTTTATTTAAAAAAAAAAAAATTAAATTAATAAAATTTTTTTTTAAAAAAAAAAATCAAAAATAAAACTAACATTTTAAATAAATAAAAAAAAATAATGGAAACTGACATAAATCTTCCAAAAACAAAATCAGTTAATTTTTTATTCCAAAATCTGAAGTTTAATTTTTACATATTAATGTTCGTATATACTACATAAGAATTAATAACCTAAAAAGATAACTAATGTACTGATTCGGGTAAATAAATGTAAAATATAATGAGAAACGGTAGCATATGTTTGATTGCTTTTAATATGTTAGGCTTTTTTTATATATGGTGTAAAAATATATTCGCACGAATAGAATTTTGGTTAATATATATATTAAATTTAATCTGGTTTTTAATAATAATAACTGATGTATTAAAGACAATAGATTAAAATAAAATAGAATGTGTATAGACAATAATGTTATAAAAGACTTATTTTATTTTAGCTTTAAAATTATAAATAGAATTACATATGTGTTTATTACTACCTATCGAATTCGCAGCTAAATATGTCAATATGGCATCTAATTTGATTTTTCCATATTTATTATTGAGTTCAGGAAATAATTTAAACTCATGCAGTATTTCAGCAAATACTTTAATTTTTTCGATTTGTTTCGCACATATTTTTATAAATTTACTTGCCGTTATTATGAATACAATTCTTCTTTTGATTGGAAAAAAAGCCAAAAAAATGCAAACTTTGAAATTTTTTATACTTATTTCTTTTTTTAGTTTTCTTATAGTATATTTAATTGTCATACTTGAAATTTCTAAAATATAAAATACCTAAGAATGTATGCCTTTACTTTTTGTAGTTAAGTCTTATATATATGTTAACCCAATAGCTTTATTTTCAATGCTTACGATATTCATGTCAGTTAAAAATGACATAGGAGAAGATATTAAATAAAAAGCACTTAATTAACGTAATAAAGTTATTCACGATAATGATTATTTAATGGGTGTTACCTCTAAAATTGGAGGCACTTATGGAATTGTCTCTTAAGCTAATCATACTGATAAATCAAAAGTAGCTAATATTAAATAAGGATTTGGAACTATTAAAATGTGATTTTTTTTTTTTTTAAAAAAAAAAAAAAATGTTATTTTTTTATTTGAATAAAATTTAATTTTCTTTTTTTGTTAGATATAAATGATAATATATATATATACATTTATATATCGTTATTTTCTTTTTTTTTGTTTAAATTATTTATTTATTTGTTTGTTTTTTTAATAAAAAAGGGAAAAAGAAAGATTTTATTTTAACTTAAATATATAATTATAAAATAAAATATAATAATCATTTATTCTTATTTAAAAAAATACTCATGTTTTTTAAGTACATTGATTTCCTTTCGCCTTCGTTAACATCCTAATTGATTTAAATTTAATTATCATATAAAAGTTAATTAATATTAAATTAATTAATAGGGTTTTATTATGTTTATATGATTTTTTGTTTTAAATATTTAGAATGTCTTGAATTAATTCTTGACTCTGTTATAGAATTAGTTCCTATTAAAGTGACTATTTTCATAGTATCTTATTTGAATTCATTTATGTTGTTTTATACTTTTTATAGTAATTCTTTAGGATTAAAATTATTTTGGGGTTTTAATTGAGGTTGCTATAGTTTATTTTTGTTAATATCTTTACATAAATTAGTAAAAGAAAACTAATGATTAAAGTTGTTAGTTGTAAAATCTTTACATTATAAATCTATAAACTAAGCAGATGCTATTTATGGTGTTATATGTTAAGCACTTAAAGAATTATGATGAGTAATTATTTATTCAGTTATTTTAGTTTTTATTGAATAATTATTATGTTATTATTGTTAATTACAAAACATGTTAATTTATCTATTTGGTGAAATATAATTATTTTCATGGATAATAAATTATTATTATTATTATTATTATTATTATTATTATTATTATTATTATTATTATTATTACTACTAAGGTTATTTTTAAATTTAAGCTTATATTTAAGGCTATGGTTAAGGTTATGTTTTATTTTGAGATAAAGGTTAATGTTAAGACTATGGTTAAAATTATGTTTAAGGTTAATTTTAAGGTTAAATATTTGGTTAGTGTTAAGGTTATATATTTGTTTAAAGTTAAGGCTATAGTTAAAATTATTACTAAGGTTATTTTTCCAAATAAAATTATTTTTCTTATAACTGCTATTTTTGATTTTCTTATTAATTATTTTCAAGCATAAAATTAAGTTTAGCTTTTGGAAGATCTTAAATACTCGTATAAAATTTATTATTTTTTTCTATATTATTATTGTCTTTAGATAATTATTATTTATAATAATGATTATTTTCTAATTCTTAATTACTTAAATTTGCATTTATTTACTAAGTTGGTATATTATTGCTTTTTTTATTCCTGTTAATATAGGGTGATAGAAATTCTGTAGAATTTTCATATAATATTGTTGTTGAATTAGAATTCGGCATTAATGCTTGGCTTGAATAGTTTGAGTTATTCTTAAATAATAATACATCTAATGCATTTTCTTATATAAACTTTTTCATTATATCTTAATTATTATTAAAAGCTATGTTTTTGCAAAAATTTTCGATTTAAAATAAACTATAGGGTAATCTTTATATGAAGTATTCAAATATTTTGCATTTTTTTTAAAGCTTTTTATTTAATTCATTAGTTTAGATTAGTCCTTGTATAAATAGTGTAAATGACTATTTTAAAATAGAATCTGATTAGTTTTGCATATGTTAAATAATATTTTTAATATTTAAATATATTTATTTAAAAAGTGTATATTTTAATATTTAATATATATGTTTGTTCTATTTTTTTTGTATTTTTTTTTTTCATATAAAAATATATATTATTTTTTTAATTATAATCTAATATTGCAAATAAACTATCCTATATTATTCTTTTTTTTTTTTAAAAAAAAAAAAATTAATAATAAAATTTATAAATAAAATTTTTAAAATAAAATATAATATTAAAATAAATAAAAAAATATTTAATTTTACAAAAATAAAAATTATAAATTTTTTATCAAAAATTTTTTCCCTTTTTTTTTTTTTTCCTTCATTTGAAATTTATATTTTTATAATTTTTTTTAGAAATATATATATATAAAAAATAAAACATTTTCTTTATTTTTTTTAAATGAAAATATGAAAATTTTTTGAATAAAAATATTTATTTTTATATATATATATATATATATATATATATATATAAAAATATATAATATATATTTATATTTATAATTTATTTATTTTTTTTGTAGTTTTAAATAATTAATTTATTTCATTTACTTATAATAAAAATCTAAATATAGAATTATTTATTTTTTAAACAATTTAATTTAATTAATTATATTTTTAAATGTTGAAATACTATATAAAAAAATATAAAATTAGATTCTATTTATACATTAATTAATTTATTAAATAATCATATATAAAAAGCTTAAATAGTAGATTTTATACCAAAAAAACCAAATCCAATTCCAATTATAAGAATAAGACAATTAATATAATATTACTCTTTACTAAGATTTTTATTACATTTATTACAAATAATAACAGGAATCGCATAAGAAAGTGTAGTACCACAAACTGATCCTATTAAGTTAATAAAAATGGAGACTTTATTTAATAAAAGTGCTGAAAGAAATATAAATAAAGTAAAAAAAACTCTTACAAAAACACTTTTTATTTCATATTATATTTTTTTTTAATTAATATTATCTAAATCATTATTTTCTTAATAATTTTCGTTGACATAAATATACTAGTTTTTAACATCTAAATTAAGGTTTTATTTTTCTCCAATAATAATTTATTATTCATTAAAAAGACTATTATTTTATTATTAATTTTCAAATAAATACTATTCAATAATACCTACTAAAGGAAAAATTTAAAGCGGATATGAAAATATCAACGCAACACAATAACAAAGTTAAACAAAATTGAAAAAAAAGCCATTTATAGGTAAATTAAATAAAATAACATCCTAAACATTATCTCCGAATGTAATATACCCCAAAAGAGCAATTAATGAGTATAATAATATAGTAAAATTTATAGTATATTCTAATACTTATTTAAATCTATATGGTTCTTTCATAGAATATCTTATATCAAAATATAGGCCTATTCCTTCAAATGTAAAAATAAATACGCCCACAGAATTTCCTAATCCATCAAATTTAAATGCACTTTTTTATTAAGAAACTCCATTTATAAAAATATTATAGATGCAAAATAAAGAAATAACCGAAAGACTAAAAAACACTAAAATATTCGCCATTAGACTCCATTATTATAATTTAGAAATTTCCTTTATAAAAATTAAAGGGAAAATTAAAACCAAAGAAAACAATAAAGGAATAAGTCTTGACTAACAAATATAATTTTACCTATTTACTATTAAAATACAGAAAATCTCTTAAAAATAACTCGTAAAATATATCACATAAGCCACACATACACTTAATTGCATTCCAAATAAACATATATTTATTAATAATTCTGATTTTTTTCCCAATGTTTAAATACAAAACTAGGTTATGTTTTAGGCTTAAAATAATTACTTGTCAGCTATTTCCATCATCTTTTTACTTACATATATCATTAGTTATCCGCAAAACGTTAATAAAAATAATCCAGTTAAATAACCGCTTCGCGAAAATGCAATTGGTAATGATAAAACTCCTATACCTATTAAACCTTTGAACATATTTATACATGCACTTAAAAAATCGGATTTTTATTAATGCATTATTTAAGTAAAAGTGATTTTTTTTTTATTTTATTTTTTAATTAAAAAAAATGCGTTTTATATATAAGTTTTATGTCATAATTATTATATTATATTTATAAAATATATATTTTTATTTTCTAAATAAAGATTAAAAGCTTTTTTTTTTTTTTTTCATAAATATATATCTTATTAAATAAAAAAAGGCTAAAAATGATAAATAATTAATATTATTTAACTTATATACAAAATAATTAATTTAAGACTAAAAAAAAAAATTATAATTATATTTATATTTTCTTAATTTAAAAAATATATTTATATAAAATAATTTTTTGTTATATATTTGTTTTTTAGTTTTATAAAAATTTTTATTAAAAACATTTTATTTATTAATTTAAATAATTAACAGATATAAATTTAATTTCATTTAGTTTTTTTTAAAAAAATTAAATCTATATATAATATTTCAACTTATTCTTATATTAAATTTATTATTAATTAGTTAAACTTGTATAAATTAATTATTTTATTAATAAATTAAAATAAAATAACAATTTTATATAATAATTATATTTATTTTAAAAAAAAAAATTAAAATATATATTTTATTCAATCTAATAATATATAAAAAGAACAAAAGTTATAAATGATAAAAAATACTATTAAAGTATATAAATATATATGATATTTTATTAATTTAATAATCAGTTTAACCATAAATTATTATTTAAGAAAAAGATTATAAAAACTATAAACATATATAATTAATAATTATAATGATATAATATACAATTTAAATTATTTTATAGAAATTTTAAACTGTTAATGCATTAATTTGTTTTATTAAAATTTTCTTAATAATTTTTCATTAAAATAAATAGTATTACAATAAATTTTAAATGAACAAGTTTTTAAAATAAAATTTATTTATTCTTTAAAAAAATAAAATACAAAGTATTGCAAAATTTTTATAAAAGTATAAATAAATTTTTTTTTTTTTAAATAAGTTAATATATATATATTTAGAATATTTATATTTATATTATTCTTTTTAGATAATGTTTATTTTAGGACTTTATAAATAAACACTTTAATTGTTAAAAAAAAAAAAAAAAAGAACATTATTTTAAAAATTTATATATGTGTATATATATATTATATTCTTAAATTTAAATATTTAAAATAATTTTTATTAATAATAATAAAAAATATAAATTATTAATCTTTTTTTATTTATTTCAAAAAGATATTCAGAGAATATGAGCAAGATTTATATAATAATCTATTTTTTTGTTTACTTAAATTTAAAATTTAAAATATTTTTTTAATTATAAATTCAAATTATATGTTTTATTTTCTTTTAAAAACTTATTTTTAAATTTAATTTTATTTTATGTATATTTATATAAGAAAAATAGGACTATAATATTAAATTATTTATTTAAAAAAAAACAAAAATTAAAAAACGTAAATAAATATATTTGCTTTTATATTTACTATTTTTTAAAAGGTAATTTAACATATTTAAATCTTAATAAAACTTTATATAATATTTATTTATAGGAATAATTATTTTTTATTAAAATATTTTAATTTCATTTATTTTTAAGATAAATTAATATTATATATAAAATATATTTTATTTGTTAAGATTTCTTGTATAAAATTTAATATTTATTTTATTATTTTTTTATATTACAAAAAAATGAAACTAAAAATAAATATTTTTTATATATTATTTTTGAAATAAATTATAAATCTAAAAAATAAATAAAAAAGACACATATATAAAAATATTTCCTATATATAAAGAGTTACATTTTTTACTTTAATTAACTAAAAAACAAATAATATATAAAAGAAAGAAAAAAAGAAAATATTTCTTTATATTCAAGTTGTTAAAAGGCAAAATAAATTTAAAAAAAAAAATAATTAAATAAATAAAAAAAAAAAAAAAACTTTGAAAAAAAATGAGAGAAATCGTTCACGTATAAGGAGGTTAATGTGGTAACTAAATCGGAGCCAAATTCTGGGAAGTAATATCTGATGAACACGGAATTGACCCTACCGGAACCTATCACGGAGACTCCGACTTATAACTCGAAAGAATCAATGTTTATTACAATGAAGCAACTGGTGGAAGATACGTCCCCAGAGCTATTTTGATGGACTTAGAACCTGGTACAATGGACAGTGTAAGAGCAGGACCTTTTGGTTAACTTTTCAGACCTGATAACTTCGTTTTTGGATAAACTGGAGCAGGAAACAACTGGGCCAAAGGTCACTATACTGAAGGTGCTGAATTAATTGATTCAGTATTAGATGTAGTTAGAAAAGAAGCTGAAGGTTGTGATTGTTTACAAGGTTTCTAAATAACCCATTCATTAGGAGGTGGTACCGGATCTGGTATGGGTACTTTACTTATTTCTAAAGTAAGAGAAGAATATCCTGATAGAATTATGGAAACATTCTCCGTAGTTCCTTCCCCTAAAGTATCTGACACAGTTGTAGAACCTTACAACGCTACTTTATCAGTCCATTAACTCGTCGAAAACGCTGATGAGTGTATGGTTATTGACAATGAAGCCTTATATGATATTTGCTTCTAAGAACCTTAAATTAACCTACTCCTACTTATGTGATTTGTAACACTTAGTATCTGCTGCTATGTCCGGAGTTACCTGTTGTTTAAGATTCCCCGGTCAATTGAACTCTGATTTAAGAAAATTAGCCGTAAACTTGATTCCTTTCCCCAGATTGCATTTCTTTATGATCGGTTTCGCTCCTTTAACCTCAAGAGGATCTTAATAATATAGAGCTTTGACTGTTCCTGAATTAACCTAATAAATGTTTGATGCTAAAAATATGATGTGCGCCGCAGATCCTAGACACGGAAGATATTTAACTGCCTCCGCCTTATTTAGAGGAAGAATGTCCACCAAAGAAGTCGATGAATAAATGCTTAATGTTTAAAATAAAAACTCATCTTATTTCGTTGAATGGATTCCTAATAATATTAAATCCTCAATTTGTGATATCCCCCCTAAAGGATTAAAAATGGCCGTCACTTTTGTAGGAAACTCAACTGCTATTTAAGAAATGTTTAAGAGAGTTGCTGAATAATTCACTGCTATGTTCAGAAGAAAAGCTTTCTTACATTGGTATACTGGTGAAGGTATGGACGAAATGGAATTCACTGAAGCTGAATCTAATATGAACGATCTCGTTTCTGAATATTAATAATATTAAGATGCTACTGCTGAAGAAGAAGGAGAATTCGATGAAGAAGAAGGAGCTTAATGATGATTTTTCTCTTTTTTTTTATCGTTTTTTTTTTTTTTTTTTTTGGAGAATTTCTTTTATAAATGATATATATGTGTTATTGGTTAATTTTTTAACTCTTTCTTAGAGGATTCAAAAAGGAACTTATAATGCATTTATATTTATTTATAAAAAAAAAAAAAATAGATATATTAAATTAAACGACACCATTTATATATTTTTTTTATGTTGAATTTGTATTTTTATAAATTTAAATTTATAAAAAAAAAAGGTTTTTTTTTTTTTTTTTATCCCCTATATATATTTTTATTACTTTGTATTTTATAGATGTATAAAATTATAATCCTAAAATATTAAAAAAAGTAAAATATTTTATACAAAATATAATAAAATAAATTCAGAATAAATTTTGTTTCTTATTTAATAAAAATTTCCTTTTTTTAATAAAAATAACTATTTTTGTTTATTTAAAAATATAAATAATATAGTAAATAATTAAAAATAACTATTTTTTTTTCTTTCTCAATTTATAATTTAAATCAAAAATCATTTTTTTTTTTTACAATTTTTTAAAAAAAATAACAACAAAAATAAAACAAAAAATATTAAAAATGGCTTTCGTAACAGATTAACATGACCCGTAAGGACTAGGAATGTTTTCTAAAGCAGGAAGATTTACTTCAGAAAAATATATTATATTTTAAAGAAAAGATGAAATATTATATAATAAAAAAAGACTTTTGAAAGTTTAATCTTTTTAAATGGCACAATAAGAAAAAGCAATATATATATATATATAATACTTTTAAAAATAATAAAAAAAATATAGTAAAATGATTAAAATGAAAATTTATTTGAAAATAAAATTAAAACAAAGGGATAAGAAAATGATAAAAATTTATAAAAAAAAGAAGAAAGTTAACCTTTCTATAAATAATTATCAAGAGAGAAAATACAATAAATAAAAGTAAAAATTATTAAATAATAAATTTTTAATAAAAATAATAAAAGGCAATAAAGCATCCTCCTAAACCTGTTGGTCATTATCGTGTTAAATATACAGTTATAGACAAGTAAATAATTAAATTAAAATTAAATTAAATTAATTAAAATTAATTAAAATAAATATAATTTAATAAATTAAATAAAATTAAATTAATTAATTTAATGATAAAATTAAATTAAATTAAATAAATATATTTATATATAAATAAAAATATATATAAACAAATAAAAATAAATATATATATATATATATCTATATATATATCTATATATTAATAATTATATTTATATTTTTATTTTTATTTATATTTATCTATTTATATTTTTTTATTTTTTTTTAATATTTTAATTAAGATTTTTTTTATTTTTTTTATAGAAACCCACATTTAGTATGGAATATGTTAAATGTTCATAAATAATATGAATAAAATAAATAAAAATTAAATATGAAAACAAAGTCTTCGACATAATAAATGAATTAAACTTTAGAATTCGATTTAAGAAGACCAATTCCAGATAAATTATTAAAAAGGACAACTGGTTTTATAGACTTAGGAAGATAATAATCAAGGTAAATATATATTTTTATAAATTCTTATATATTTATAAAAAGAGGAGCCTTACTTATTAATTAAAAAAATAATCCTCACGAAAGTCAATTTGAAACAATTCGATATTCGAAATATTTTTCGAAAATAAAAAATATACCTTCTTTTAATATAAAAGCATCTTTAGGAAGAGAGGATAATAAAATATACGAAAATAAAGAATTTGCACCTGATTATAATCCAAATTACGAATTCGGTAAAAAAACACTCGGTTCTTGTGGACCTAGTTTTCATAAAATTCCTGCAAGAAAAACATTTGAAAAAAAAACAATAACATATAATGAAAATTTTTATAATTTAAACGATTATAAAAACAAATCTATTATATTTAAAAAGTACATAATTATATATATACCTTTTTAAATTTATATATATATAAGTTTTATTATAAATAATACAATAGTACTACATGTCCTGATTTTAAAAGAATGTTACCAAGAGAAAGAGATTTAAAATCTCCTTTACCTAGTTTTATGCAAGTATATATATATTTATATATAATTTTTTTTTTTAATTTGATTTAATAAAACTATGTATCAAAAAATTACAAAAAAAATAAATTAATTTTTTATTGAATTTATTTCAAATAAATAAAATTATGTTAAATAATAATTTATATAAAAAAAAAAGTAATTTGTTAATTCTAGAACTTAATTAACTTGTCTTTCACATAAAATGCTTAAATAAAACAATTATTTTGAAGGCAGATTCTAAAGTACAGAATCTCAATTTAAGGCATTCAAAAAGCCTTAACCCAAAGAATAAGATTCAGATGATTCAATGGAATATAATTAAGAATGAGATAAACATATATATTTAATAAAAAAAAAAAAAATATTTAATATATTAATAAATAAAACTTAAATAAATAAAATTTATATAAATATATATTTATATTTTTATATAAATATATATTTATATATTTATATATATATATATATATTCATATATATAAATTAAAATCAATCATCATCTTAATCTATTTCATTTTCTTCTCTATAAATAAATTACTTTGCAAGTTCTCCTAAATTCTTTCCTTTAATTTACATGCTTAGAACAGCTGTTGGTAAAATTAATATGATTTCAGTATCTTCTGAATTAAAGTTAGATTAAATAAAATTAAAGCTTTCCTCAAAAATAGGAGCAGCGTCAAAAAGAGAAGCTATTTTAGTTTTTTATCTAAATTTTAAGAACATATCATTACATTTTACTTAATTAAATTTGATTGATTTTAATATATTACTACTTGTGTTTAAATTGATAGTAATTCTTCCCTAAGTAATTAAAGAAAATATAAAAATAAACAATTAATTTTCTTTTTTATAATTGCTTTATAAATCGAAGTCTTTCCCGAATTTTTCATAGGCAACTTATCTTATATTTTTATATAATTACCTAGACATTTTTCCATTTATTTCAATATTAAGTTCTTTCAATAATTCTTCCATAAAATTAACTTCTTATTTATTTTTTATCATATTTTCGACATCAAGTTATGTTTTTAATCCTACTTTTACTGAAATTCCTAAGTCATCCTATTTAATCTATGCTGCAGCATCACAATATGACTAAACCATTTGATTTATTAACTCATGATTACCAAATATAGTAAAAATAAGATACTTATTATCCATAATATGATATTTAAACTATATCATATTCAAATATTAATCTGACATTTCTGGTGGGAGCAGATTTTCTGCAAATGATTTAATTTATTCCACTATTTATTCAAATTCGTCTACAATATTTTAATAATCCTTTACTTTTTAATCAAATTATAGCTTTAAAATTATACAAGGATTAGTCTAATTTAACTAATTAATTTCAATAAATTTTTAGGCTTTTTCATTTGCTAAATTATCAGTTAATAATTCAATATTAAACTCAAATTTAGGTTCTTTTTATGTACTATTTAATTAAATTAAGTAACTATTAATTTCTGTATCTTCCTAAGCTGAAGCATCCTATTGATTTGTTTGTAATTTTTTAAATTAAGAACTTGTCTATTTTAAGTATTTTTCAGTTTTTAATTTAGTATAAAATAAAGGAAGTAAATTCTGGTCTTTTCCCCAATACCACCATTAGTAGAATTCATCAAATGAAATTTTATTATCTTTATCTTTATCGAGGTTTTTAAATATTTTTACGATTTCTTTATGAGATAAAGGAGTAGGGAGGCTTTTAGAGAAATTCTGAAATTCTTAAAAGTCTAGAAAACCGTTTTTATTTAAGTCTATTTAATCAAATAAAATTTTTAATTCTTCTTTTGTTAATAAAGGATTTTAATTTTCCATTTTTTTTTTTTTTTTTTTTTTTTTTCTTATAAATTTATTTTTTTAGAACACATGAAAAATAAAATCCATAATTTAAAAAATAAATTATATATGTATATTATATATATAAAAAAAAATAAAAAATCATAATTTTAATTAATATATAAACATATTTATATAATTATTAAATATCTAATATGTATCTATTTATATATTATATAAATTCTTTTTTTTAATATAATATTAGAAATTTAATATAATATAATTAAAAAATTAAATATATTTAGCATAATAAATTATTTAATTTACATATTAAAAAAATGATAACTATTTATTTTTATATAATTAAAATATTTTTCATATTATAGAAAAAGAAAAAGAAATAAAAAAATATCTAAATTTTTTAAAAAAATTATTATAATTATTCTATTCATAACATAAAAAAAGAACTGATTGAAATATTAAATTATCATTATTAAATTATATATTTAAATATACTTTTACTATAAATAATAAATAATAGTAGTAAATATATAAATCCAAATATAAATATATTTAAAAAAAAACATATTAATTAACATTTAATTATTTCATTCAAGTAAATATAAATAATCCTAACTTTTATAAATTATATTAAAAAACATATTTTTACCTAAATTTTTGATCGATGAATCTTTTATTCCGAATTGTGAGATTGTGTTGCTCATAATATTCAATATTATTATGTCACTATTTATATATTATATATTATATTATTTTGTCTATATTTTTTATATATTGATTTTTAAAATCTTATAAACATATTTTATTAATTAACATTAGTGAATATAAATTTTCTTTCTTTTTTATTTATTAAAATATAATTATTATTTATATATTATATGTTTTTTATAATATCTATTTTTTTTATTTTATTATAATAATTTTTATATTTTTTTTATGTCTAATTTAATATATGGAATAAAGTTATATTTTATTTTAATTTTATTAACTTAAATAATAAAATAATTTTATATAAAAATATCAAAATCATTTTAAAAAAAAAATATTAAAAACATTTTTAAATTATTCGATTATTTATAAAAAAAAAAATATTATTATTATTATTTTATTAAAAAATTAAATATTATTATAACAAATAAAATTATTTTATATCTTTTTTTAAAAAAAAAATAAAATAAAAGCAAAAATAATGGAATTTTATTATAAATTAAGAGAAAATATAAGAGAAAAACCAAATATTATGACAAAATTGATGAAAAAAAATATTAAAAGAGAAATATTTTAAAAAGAAATTATAATTATCATAATAAAAATTATAAGAAGGTAATATTAAAAAAAAATAAAAAAAAACCTTAAAAATAAAAAAAGGAAAACCTTTATCAAAAAGAGCTAAATTTGATGTTTTATATTATTTAAAAATTTATATGAATAAATAAGAAATAAATGAATTTAATACATTAAAGCACTAATATAAAATATAAAATTATAAAACGATTGCAGTTTCTTTACTTGTCATTACATGTTCAACAACTTTGTTTAGAAATTTTTAGAATTATAAATGGTATACTAAACTTGGATATTCTTTAATTTTATTTAATATCACTCATTTTTGTGGAATGATAGAAGTGGAATATAAATCAAATTAATTTGCGGATAATATAATTAATAATTATAAAGAATAATTTGTTAATTCTAATTTTATTAAAGATAAAGTTATAATAAATGATGAAATGACAAATTAAGAACATATAAATAATAAAAAAATTGAAGAAAAAAGTTAATAATGAATAATAAAAATTAATAAAATTTATATTTATTTAAAAAAATAGTAATTATTTATTAATATATATTTATTTTAAAAACAAATTTAATATTAGGTTGTTTTTTGATATAATTTAATAATGAAATTCATTTTTTGTAAATACAGATATTAGAATTCTTTAAAAAAAAAAAAAATTATATATAAAAAAAAAAAATTATAAATAAAAAATACTTGAATAAAAAAATATTATATAAAAAATATAATATAAATACATATATATATATATATATATATATATATATAAATATAAATATATATAATTTTTATATTATATTAAAATAAATCATAGCCTTTTTATTTCAATAAATCCTTCAGCACTAAAGTCACCATCATAAATAACTGATACTCTTGCTCTTTCTGGTAAAATGACATATTCATTTATATTACAAACTTATAGAAAAATTAAAATTTACTTATATAATTTATAATACCTGCTAAATTACAATTTTATCTTTAAACATCATTATTTTTTACTTAAATAACCATTTATTCGTTAGAATAAATTTTTTCTCCATTTACAAAAAGTTAAATAAAAGGTTTTTTTGTAGAAAAAAATCCACCAGAAATTCTATGCAATCCAGGAGCTACACATAAAATAAATAATTGATCTTTTTCCCAAATAAAATTTTCAGGAAGACAATTAGCTATTTATATTTCCCAAGGTACTAAATTATTATTTTTCAAATTTTGACTTTTCCAAGCCCATCTTCCTATTATATTTTCTGTACAAAGATTTTCTAAAACATTATTTTATTCATTTTAAATAATATTGAAATTTTCTAGAGAGCACTTAAAATCCAATTCTTTATATATTTCAGTTAATGCTTTATTCATTTCATCTATATCTATATAAATAAAAAACTTATATAAAAAGAAATAATATAAAAAAATATATAAATATATAAATATATAATATATTAATTTATTTATATATATATATATATATATATATATATTTTAGTTTCTTTATGCATATTTTTTTACTAGCTTTAGTATCTATTATTTTGCATACCTCTTTTATGTTTATTTTTTATTATAATTATTTATTTATTTCTTCTATAGATTTAATAATTTCTTGCTTATCTTCATTATATTAATTTATATTTTATTTTTCTGATATGTTTTTAAATAAATTTTGTACAATATTCATTAATAAATCAAGCTCTTTTAAAATTTGTTTTTTAAAATTTTTTAAAATATTTAAATCAGGTTTATTTTTTAAAAGTTCTCCTATATCTGTCAAATTAGCTTTTTTAGAAACTATATTTAATATATCGCATTCTGATGTTTTTAATTTTAATTTAAGTTCTTCTTTTAATTCTATAAATCTACCTGATATATCTCCTTATGAAATATTTAAAACTTATTAAACTTCTTCTAGATCTACTTTTTGATCAAGAATTTATATAATTTATTATTAAAATTATTAATTTTCTTCTTAATCTACCTTACTAATTTTAAGATCATCCAATTATTTCTAAATTTAATTAAATTATAAATAAAACTTTTCAATTTATGTATTTTAATCATCATTAATTAATTTGAATTGATTTTTATTTTAAGACATATTTTAAATAAATTAATCTTAAATGTTTTTGACTAAATTATTATTCTGATATTAAAAAAAAAATTATATGTATAAATATTTATAATTATATAAATATATATATTTATATATTTATATATTTACTTTACAAACTTCATTTTTTAATATATCTATATTTTAATTGTTTTTGAGAATATTTTATTATAAATTTTAAATGAAAATATTTTATTTTTCACTAAAATCTTGAAATATTTATTCATCAAATTAATTATTACTTTTTTAATTTTTTTATAAATTTTTTATTTCTTCTATTTATTTTTAATATTCATCTTTTTTTATAAAAAGATTTTCTAATTCATTTTTGTTTACTTTTTTCTTTAATTAATTTTCTGTTTGTGATTTATTTGCCTTTGTTTCTAGAATTTCTATTAAATTCTCCATTTCCATTTTTTTAGATAAGTACTATTCTAATTCACTTTTCTATACATAATCTTTTAACATTAATTTTAAATCATCATAAGTCACTTTGCCTTCTATTCCTGAAGAATATTATATTATATTTTTATTTATTTCATTAATATTGGCTATTTATTGATTTTCTTATTGATTTAATTATTTTTTAAGTTCTTTTATAGAACCTTCTTGCTATTATACAACTCCTGTTAATGCTTTTAGAGACAATTTTATTATTTCATGTACGTTTCTCCATTCATTTTAGCTCTTTATTTATATTTTTTTTTATTATGTTTTTTTTTTATTTTATTCACATTTAATAAATCGTCAACAATTAAAAGTTAATCATTTTATTAAACTGTTAAATATTTTGATTGTTTAATATCTTAATTTTATTTTTGAAACATTTTTATTTTTATTTTTTTAAAAAAAAAATTATTATTATTTTTGTTTTATTTAAAAAAACAAAACAAAAAAAATATTTATTTAAATTTATTAGAAAAATAAATAACATAACGTAATATAATATAAATTTTTTTATTAATTTCAATATAATTAATTATTTAATAAATTTATCGAATTAAATTATCCTGAATTACTTTTTAATGAAAATGTTTAACTTATTATTATTAAAAGAATCACTATTACTAAAATCGCTATTTTTTAATAAAATATCATTGACAATTTATGCATTTTTATTAAAAATTTAAATAATACACTTCTATTTATTATTATTATTATTATTATTATTATTATTATTATTATTATTATTATTTTTTTTTTTACTGTCGCTTTAAAAATCTTTAATTTTCTAAGATTATTACATTATTTTAAGACATTTATTAAATTATTATGCTGAAGAAGTTGATTAATTTGTATTATTATAAATGTTTTTTTAGTTTTTATTTTTTTGGCTTTCTATTTTATTTTTTTGTTATTATTATTCTTCACTATTTATTTTTATCAAACTTTAAATTACTTGACTATTATTTTAATATTATTAGGATGTATTTACTATATTATTATTATTATTATTATTATTTTAGTTATTTCTATTATTATCATTATTATTATTAATATTCTTTTAAGTTTTTTTTTATGTTTATTAATGATATTACTTGTTAACGTTATTGATATTATTTTTTTAATTTAAAGTAACCTTTTAGTAATTAAGTATTTAATAAAAGAACTCATATAAGTTTTTTTAATAAATGTTTTTTCTAAAATCTATATAAAATGTTTGTATTTTAATTTATTATGATTGATTTCGAAATGTAATATTTGATTTTGTTCTGGTAGAAAATAAAATATATTTTTTTTTAAAGGAAAAAATAAAATAAGATTTACTTTTAAATTTTTATTGGTAATATATGTATTGTTTTATTATTTAGAAAACTGTATTTAATTGTAATTTTATGTTCGATTTTAAAATATTCTTTAGATTTTTTAATTATTGCCATTTTTATTTATTTATTATTTAAGAATTTGAAAGCATTTTTTTAAAATAAAATTTGTTTTGTTTTGCTTATAATACTATTTTATAAAAACCTTACTAAATCATTTATTTTTAATGATTTTTTATATATTCAGGTATTTTTTTTAATAAAAATTCTTTATCTTTATAATGTTTCTATTTAAAAAGTCTTTTTTTAAAATATTTATATTGTTATATAAATAAAAAAAAACGTAAAGCTTGTTTTTGGCCGTTATTTTTCTAATTTTTATGAACTATTTTAGCTTGGTATTTATTATTTTTATATAAGGCTTTATTTTAATTTAAAAAAACTATTTATTAGTTTAATTTCTTATATTTTTTTTATTATTTATATGAAATATTTAATTCCTTAAACTTTTTATTTGTTAATCACATTAATTTTTTTTAT